ATGTTAAGTGAAAGTGTTAATTTTCTCCATTTTCTAAAGTGAAAATTGTCCAGAATAATTTTAAAATTTATTTATAGATAATGTATTAGAAAAAATATAATTTTTATAATAAATATAATTATTAAAATTATATTATAAAATTATTATATNCGGACATGCGCAGTCAGAACGTGACGGATGTTAAGTGAAAGTGTTAATTTTCTCCATTTTCTAAAGTGAAAATTGTCCAGAATAATTTTAAAATTTATTTATATATAATGTATTAGAAAAAACATAATTTTTATAATAAATATAATTATGAAAATTATATTATAAAATTATTATATTATAAGATTATAAGAATAATAATTCATAAATTATTATTCTTTTGCTCATAAATTCTTCTGATCTCGAAATCGGGGATTCTAGATTTGTACGGAAGAATTTAAAGAGCACCAATTTAGAGATTTTCTTAAAATAAAACACACACATACAAAAAATGATAATTGAATTCTTAATTTAAAATCAAAGATTTCACAACAAAAATTGTTAGCCAAATCGAATTATTATTTTGACTTTTGGTGGATAAGTGCACTTAATGAATGAAAGTCTACTCTAAAACAATTACAACAATTCTATTGACTCAAATTTGTTCCAATCAGTTAATGCGACTATAGTGTTTTTAGCTTGTTGATTCCAATGCATCGCTGTTTATTCGAATAAAATTTCTAATTTCGAAAAAAAAAGAACTAGTGTTTTTATTTTTGGATAACTTAATCTAATTCGAGAGATTTGTCGGATTTAAATCAGTTTAATAATTCATTTTAACCTATACGTTGTTTTGAACAATTTGATTGGAATATGCTGATTCTAATCAATTAATTCAAATTTGGCGATTCTGAGTTATTTGGAATTTTTTGATTCGAATAAAGCTCAGACTCCACTTAAACACTATGATTTTGTAAATAGAAACAGTTAATGTATTTCTGGATAATTATCCTGACAGATTTATTTGATTCGAATCATTTTGAGCATTCATTATGCACTATTCTAAAACAGATATGATTTTAAACATCTAGTATTGTCATTACAAAATATTAAAATAAGTTGTAGGCGGTAATTTTGACCTCAAACATCTATCATCGTGACCCATAAATTTTCTAGGAAAAAAAAATTCTGTTCTTAAATATTTATTTTTTTCCCGACTTTTTGAAAAAAAGATGGTTTTTCTTTTCTAAAGGGAAATCTGTTTCCCATATTTTTCAACGCTCCGTCTCTAACGGAAGTCAGTGTGACATCATTTATTTCATCTGCCAGATTGAGAGTGTGGGGGCACAGTCACAGTGAATCAGTTAAAACTCGAGTAATGTCACTTATGCTCTTTGTTTACGTTGGCTACTCTTTTAAAACGCCGATATTAGGTTTTAAAATTGCTGAAAAAGAGTGGAAAAAAAGTAGGGCATTTTTTATGAGTAAAAGACTTTTATGTGGAGTATAAGTCTTCAAGTGGTTTTTTTCTTTCGTTTAAAAAGTTTGTTCTTTATGACAATGAGAAAGTGTTAAACTTAGAGATTAAGTTTCATTGGTCAAAAAATAGTGACTGTCGATCGGCATGCGACATTGTTAGTTTTAGTGCCTGCAAGGTCAAAACAACCACAAAAGAAGTTTGTTTCGCTAGCCCTGCAGCGTGGTTCAAATTTTAGTTTTAAAAATTATAGCATTGATTAAACTATTTTTTTTAAAAAAAATAAGCCTTCAACAACTAACATTTATAATTTTACAAAAGCAGTGTTTTTTTTAAAGCTTTTTTTTAATCTTTAATTTTTAGAAACCTAATTATTTCTTTGCCAGGTAAACAAGATACCTCATGAACAAAGTTTCATAAAGAATATTGAAAAGTTTTCACAGTGAAGTGCAGAGACGAATTCCTGGATAAGATGCCGGGAAAAGAGGAGTATGACAATATAATCAGTAGAAAGGGCAATAAAAGTCAATTTAATTAAAGGGGAAAAAATGTCCATTGAATTAACCCTTAAATTTACAGTTAGGAACAGTTCTTTACTTTTACGGTTTTGAAACCGTTTATAACTTGTAAGAGTAAGAGACCGTGAATACTAAATTATACGGTTTTGTAACCTTTTACTTTTACAACTAGCATGGTTTCAAAACAGCAAAATTGAAATTTAACTGGATATTGAAGTTCAGCTTTTCGTTAGATGTTGGAGTTAGGTGGTCGTGTTGTGTTATCAAATAGACCGTGGGATATGATTGAATTTGTTTATCTGGTGGTGTCATCTATCGAGAAGAATGGGAAATACTAGAACTTTTATGTTAGCTAGCTCTGAAATTGCAGCCAACTACGCGTGAACGAGAGTTTTGCTTTCTAATAGTTCAGGATCACCAATTGGGAAGTGCAGGACACTGAAAACTTTTCATGTGCTGAAGGAATGGAAAATATATTGTGTCAACGGTGGGTTTCTGACCCTCGTTCAGCCGGTTATGAGATGATTAAACTAATTGAAGCAATAAAGAACTTATGACTAAACTATCCCACTTGGCGATAGCATACGTCCAGCTACAAGGAATAAAGTAGCTTCCTAAGGTAGGCCTAGTTAGCGCGAATAAAATTAGATAAAATTGGTCAATAAACTCACAATTTGAATACCATCTTTTTTATGATTATTTCTGATGTTACGATTGAATGTGGAAAAATAACAATTTAATGCATTGTTATTTAATAGTTTTCTTCAAGAAATTTCAAACAGAGTATTTAATACTAAATAATATATGACAGATTCACATGAAAAATAATATCTATTTATTAATCATGTTTTTATTTTTTATTTTCAATATTAGTCTTTCCTCACGGTGCTCTTTTTTTAATTTCATTTTTGTGGTTTTTACAAGGAATATTCTTGAAAAAAAAAAAGGATTTTTTCTTTACGATTTAAGTTATTTTATCAATAATAGAATCGATAAAAGCTTAAAATTAGAAAGACTGGTGATTATGTAAGATTTCTTCTTCAGATTTCTCTTTAAGATTTTGTAGTGTATGTTGAGGGAAATGTGGCGAAAAAAAGATACTTTGATGATAAATTCCTTTCGAATTTCTATATTAAGTTAAGCCAGTTGTTCTCAATACTTCTCCACATTTGTTATTCTGTGCTCACATATTTCTGATGGTACACATAACAATATAGTCGCACCTGCTAAATCCCGATAAAATGCTCGTTATATGGAAAATTACTTAAATAGAAAATCACCATTTGAAAAACTTAAACAACTCAAAGCAAGTTTTAAATTCATAAACACTAGACATAATTAAAATAGCAATTGATACACTTTTATCTTGCAAATTATTATATACCATAGAATTGTTTCAAATGATTTTAACATTTTATTATATGAAGGCTTTGGTGATTTCTTCATAATTTCCGTCTTCATCTTCCTCACAACTTATTGCTGTATTGTTTTTATTTTTCACTCAGTCCAAAATATCAGATTCAGTTAATGTTTCTGTCGTTGTGGCTTCAGAATCAATAAAAAGAAAATCACTAATCAGTACATCACAATTAATTTCGTGATTCTCTCTTAGCTGTACCCATATATTTTTTTAATTTCTTCTAACGGAACGTCATTCTCGTCCTCCGCACTTTCCAAACTCTCCGCTGTGACAAAGAATCCAGCTTTAGACAAAATTCTTAAGAATAGTTCGATCTGTAACATCATAGTTCCATGCTTTAGAAATTTCTGTGGCGTTTTCTCGTAAATTGATTTTTGACCTGGATTCCTGTATGAAATGCAAACAAAAAGGGAAAAGGATTTTACCTCTTTCTCTAGAATTTAAGTGTCTGCTAAAATCAATTTAAGGTCGTTTCCCCCATAAAATGCGTTAACAAGTTTGAAATGTTCCGAAATATTTTATGAAATAGGGAAAGTGGATCTCAAAGAAAAGTTCGATAATGAGAAAAGTCACTTCGCTATTTGGAAATTATTCTACAAAGAAATTTTAAAAGATCAAAAATTTATTATTAAGTATCATCCATAAAAAACATGCTTTTCTAAATTTGCGAAACTTTAAAAAACGTTATTTAAAATTTTTTACTGCCATCATAAATTGTTTTAAATGAAGACTTTGGAAACAACTAAACAACATGGACCTTTGTTAACACAGAGGTTAATCTGAAAAAAATCTTGATTGTACTAATGCGTTTTTTTTTAATATGTAAAGAATAGTCATAGTAACACATCATATAAAATTTATCCAGGGTCAAAAAAGTTAAATAATGGAGTTTATGTTTAAAGTTTCGCGTAGAAGAAAAGGCTTATGTCCTTGAAACAGTAAAAAATTTGACTTAGAATTGGTGTACCTAATACACAGAGCAATTTAATATTATTGGCGGAAAATTTTATCTCTATTAAGAGAATTGCAGCACAGGAAAACAGGGCCTTAAGTATAATAATTTTGGAATGGATAATGTCTTAGTCCTTTACATGTAATATTATTTATTGTGAATAACTTTATTTACTTGGAAAGAATAGATTATAATGATATCGAATTTTCTTATTTTTCTTTTGAAAGCATGGAAGTACATTTAATTTATTATTGTTGTCCAATGTTCGAATGAAAATTTCTAGCTTATGTAAGAAATAAATTTTTTTGTAAATATTTAAAGAAATCTTCATATTTATCTCTTAGCAATATTTCATATTTTTTCGGTGTTAATTAGTACACGATGACTTTCAATTTATTATTATAATTGTTAATATTGAATGACATCACAGATTTTATATCTGATTAATAATTTATTAGAAACATATATTTGTATCAAATCCGAGTCTATTAAGCAGCTTTATACAAATAATCATAAAAATCGGAAAATGAGCATAAATATTATTAGATAAAATGAAAGTTTTTGAAATTTTTAAATCATGACAAAGTGCGAATATATTTAGTAAGTAATGGTACTTATGCAATTTAAAATAATTCTCTATTGAGGCAAAAATTTATTCATTTACAGGAAACTTGCTTCAACTATTTTAGTATCCGATTGTAATTGTTGCTACAATTTCTCCAACTATCAATCATCTAAAAAAGTTACTGAAATATTATTCATTGAAAGGAAAGATACAGAAATATTATTCATCACATCCGACAAGAAGAAACTTGACTCGTGTAAGTCTGAGGAATCATTTTTCATTCTACATTTCAAGAAAACATTAAAGAACATGTTTCTGTAAGTTGTAGTTTTCTTTTCTTCTTTTTTTATTTGACCTCGTGGTTGTATAATCTGACAAATAATCAAACTTGTTCTTAATGGTTATTTGATAGGTTTCTGAAATTGCTGGTTTTCATTAGGGGTTTCATAAACAGATGCAGAGAAACTATGAAACAAAATTTTTGATAAATAATAAAATATTTAAATGTTTTTTTTTCGATTTTTGAATAAAGTAACATGATTTCTTTTTAAACTGTAAATATTTCATTTCATTAAATCGTTAAATAGTTTATCTATATCAGATGTGTAGCTTTTAATGTGCAAATAAGAAAATTATCACTTTAATAACTGATGATTTATTGTTGAGATGTTAACTGATGATTTAACGTTGATGATTTAACGTTAATGATTTAATGTTACAATTAATCGTAATGGTTTGTAAGATTAGGTTTAAATATGCTGATTAATTTTCAAAAAAATATTTAAGTTACGAATTTAAGCACAAAAACTTACTACATAAACATAGTTTTTACAACCGTCTTAGAACACTGCCCCTCAAAATAAGGGATAGTCATTTACAATGAGAAAAATATGTCATGAGTAATTCATTCCAGAGAATCATTGCCATCTAGATTACCGCATTATTAATGCTAATTTTACTTTTTGATTAATTCCCTGGAACTATTTAAGAAATCCGTAATATAAGTCCATACAGAGTCCAGCCCGGGTATGCAGACACACGTGGTTTTGTGTTACAATGATGAAGTGGTACCTTCTTGTGCCAAAACTCGACCTTCCCACAGCGTCAACACGAACTAGCATCTAGCTGTACATTTTAATATCGATTGTACAGACCGGCTCACCAACTACGGGTCCTGTTCTTGAAGTCTACTTTTCATCAGAAGTGACAATCCAGTCAAGAATGCTGTTCTTATGTGATATTCGAGCAAACTAGCGCAGGCCTGAACACATTTGTTCTTATCTGTTTGAAATAGCACATGCGGCACCTAGCGATTGAACTTATAAGCCAAGTGTATGCAATGCATAGAACGACTAATGAATATGGCAACTCCTTAGCTATATCTCATGTGGTTGAATACTGATTTTCTCTCACAAGTTCTCGCAGGTCTGCTAAATCGATCTACTTTTTGAATGCCGTCATCCTTTATTTTTAAACTTTCGGTACTGTACCAAACCTTCACAGTGTCATACGATACAACAGTAGTTCCTGAAACTGTGGACAGGATTCGGGGACATTCTATAGCTGACTTTTGCTCCATAACTGGAAGTAAATGATGGATTTAATTTAGTACTTTGATAGCTCTATTTTAGGCATCTTGTACTAAATGATAACGATATTTTTTTACAGATTTCTAAGAACAATGTTAAAAAGCAAATATCTTTCTTTCAAATGCCAAAAATCGTTTGATAAAATAGCGAACTGTTAGCGCAGACGATATTAGCAATGGCAGGACACTTTCATTACAACTTGATATGACTAAGGCTTCATTTAATATTATTAGGGCTTCTCAAATTAATTGCAATGTAATGCATTTTTGATAAATAATAAAATATTTAAATGTTTTTTTTCTTCGATTTCGAACGAGTTATATGATTTCTTTTTAAACTGTAGAATATAAATATTTAATTTCATTAAACCGTTAAACAGTTGATCTATATCAGACGTGTAGCTTTTAATATGCCAAGTGCAAAAATGAAAAAAATTATCACTTTAATAACTGATGATTTAATGTTGAGAATTAGATGTAATCCTAATGGTTTGCGAGGTTAGGTTTAAATAGGCTGACTAATTTTCAAAAAAAAAAAAAGAAAAAAAAGAAAATAAATAAATAAATAAATTTTAAGTTACGAAATCAAGCACAAAAAGTTGCTGCATAAACATACTTTTTACAACGGTTTTAGAACACAGGCCCTTAAAATAAGGGATAGTCATTTACAATGTGAAAAATATGGCGGGAGTAGTTTATTCAAGAGAATCATCGCAGGCTAGATTACCACATCATTAATGCTAATTTTACTTTTTGATTAATTCCCTGGAACTATTTAAGAAATCCGTAATACGAGTCCATTCAGAATGCAGCCCGAGTATGCAGACACTTTTGTGTTACCATGATGGAGTGGTACCTTCTTGCACCAAAACTCAACATTTCCACAAGGTCAACGCGAACTAGCATCTAGCTGTACATTTTACAGTTGATTGTACAGACATACTCACCAACTACGGCTCGTGTTCTTGAAGTCTGCTTTTCATCTCAAGTGACAATCCAGTCAAGAATGTTGTCCTTGCGTTGATATTGAGCGCAGGCCTGAACACATTTGTTCTCATCTGCTTGAAACAGCACATGCGGCATCTAGCGATTGAACTTGTATGCCAAATGTATGCAGCGCATTGAGCGATTAATGGATATGACAACTCCTTAGCTAGTTCTCGTGGTTGAATACTGATTTTCTCTCTTAAGTTCTCGCATGCTGGTCAAATCGATCTACTTTTTTGAATGACGTCAATCTTATTTTTAAACTCTCTGTACTGTTCCAAACCTTCACAGCGTCATATGATACAACAGTAGTGTCTGAAGCTGTGGACAGGATTCGGGGACATTCTATAGCTGACTTTTTGCAACATAACTGGAAGTAAATGATGTTTCTAATCTGGTCATGTGACAGTTCCATTTCTGACACCTTGAACTTGATGATAACAATATATATATTTTGAACACATTTCACAACACAGAATTTTAAAGCGTCTTTCTTTCAAATCACAAAATTTGTTTAACAATATACTGGAATTTTAAACATATTAAAATTGCAGTCTGGTTTATGTAAGAGTACTAATTTCCAAATTCTTTAATATATCAATTCTAAATATGTGGAAACTAAAAGCAACAGTTCAAAAAAAATTTTATTAAATTTTTTTTAAAAATCACATCAATTTAGTGTCTTTTTATATTTAATGGAAAAAAGTATTANCATTGAAAGGAAAGATACAGAAATATTATTCATCACATCCGACAAGAAGAAACTTGACTCGTATAAGTCTGAGGAATCATTTTTCATTCTACATTTCAAGAAAACATTAAAGAACATGTTTCTGTAAGTTGCAGTTTTCTGTTCTTCTTTTTTTATCTGACCTCGTGGTTGTATAATCTGACAAATAATCAAACTTGTTCTTAATGGTTATTTGATAGGTTTCTGAAATTGCTGGTTTTCATTAGGGGTTTCATAAACAGATGCAGAGAAACTATGAAACAAAATTTTTGATAAATAATAAAATATTTAAATGTTTTCTTCCCCGGTTTTTGAATAAAGTTACATGATTTCTTTTTAAACTGTAAATATAAATATTTTATTTCATTAAACCGTTAAACAGTTGATCTATATCAGATGTGTAGCTTTTAATGTGCAAATAAAAAAATTATCACTTAACTGATGATTTATTGTTGAGATGTTAACTGATGATTTAATGTTGATGATTTAATGTTACGATTAATCGTAATGGTTTGTAAGATTAGGTTTAAATATACTGATTAATTTTCAAAAACAAATATTTTAAGTTACGAAATCAAGCACAAAAACTTACTGCACAAACATACTTTTAACAACGGTTTTAGAACACTGGTCCTCAAAGTAAGGGATAGTCATTTACAATGCGAAAAATATGTCGTGAGTAGTTCATTCCAGAGAATCATTGCAAGCTAGATTACCGCATTATTGATGCTAATTTTACTTTTTGCCTAAATCCCTGGAACTATTTAAGAAATCCGTAATACGAGTCCATACAGAGTCCAGCCCGAGTATGCAGACACATGTGGTTTTGTGTTACCATGATGGAGTGGTACCTTTTTGCACCAAAACTCAACATTTCCACAAGGTCAACGCGAACTAGCATCTAGCTGTACATTTTACTGTTGATTGTACAGACAGACTCACCAACTACGGCTCGTATTCTTGAAGTCTGCTTTTCATCGCAAGTTACAATCCAGTCAAGAACGTTGTCCTTGCGTTGATATTGAGCTTAGGCCTGAACACATTTGTTCTCATCTGCTTGAAACAGCACATGCGGCACCTAGCGATTGAACTTGTATGCCAAATGTATGCAGTGCAATGAGCGATTAATGGATATGGCAGCTCCTTAGCTAGTTCTCGTGTGGTTGAATACTGATTTTCTCTCTTAAGTTCTCGCATGCTGGCCAAATCGATCTACTTTTTTGAATGACGTCAATCTTATTTTTAAACTTTCTGAACTGTTCCAAACCTTCACAGTGTCATATGATACAGCAGTAGTGTCTGAAGCTGTGGACAGGATTCGGGGACATTCTATAGCTGACTTTTTGCAACATAACTGGAAGTAAATGATGTATTTGATTTAGTAGGATGATAGCTCTATTTTTGGCTGGCACCTTGTACTAAATGATAACGATATTCTTTTACAGATTTGTAAGAACAATGAAAAAGCAAGTCTCTTTCTTTCAAATGCCAAAAATCGTCTGATAGAATAACGAACTGTTAGCGCAGACGATATTAGCAATGGCAGGAGACTTTCATTACAACTTGATATGACTAAGGCTTCATTTAATATTATTAGGGTTTCTCAAATTAATTGCAATGTAAAGCTTTTTATTATTCGAACTGATTTCTGGCTGAAAAATTATCACGTGAATAAAATGTGACCAGTTGCTTTGTAGTTGAAGTTATATACATTAATATTCTATAAGTTAAATATTACACTCTTCGTAGATAAAAGCCTTATAATTTCGAAACTATTCAGTTCATTGACTCTTTTGATTTAATTCGAGACAAAAAAGCTGAAAAAAATATGTAGGAAATAATACCGTTCTTGTCTAGACATGATTTTCTACTTATATGTTAAAAATCATACTCTTTGTGGATAATAATCTTATAACTTAAAAATTTCATTTTATAGACTGTAAGATTTTATTCGATACTGCAAGAAAAAATAAGTTGGAAATAATACCTCATTTGTCTAAATAGAAATGTGGTGTA